AATGTTGTGTTCTGAATATAATTCTCTGAACCAAAATATTGCTATACCTTTGTTGACAGCCAATAAAAACAGGTACTACACAAAACCACAGAGTGCATTGGTAACTCTTATCTCTGCAGACTGCAATATGAGCAAATCGTCATTAATGATTTCTGCTTTCGCAAAGGACATTTTGATGATATCTTAGAGGTTAACTACCTAAATTATTCTTGCTCACGCAGTCTGCTGAATGAAGGGGTGAAAATATTTCATCAATGACTTGATAGTTAATATTTTAAAATATATGGATTACAGATAGGGTATTTTAACAACACGGCTGTGATGAGTGAAATTGTATATGTTATCCAAATGTTTGTTCATTTCTCTTTTTATTTATTTAAGGAAAACTGGTACAGTAGTGATTTGGACCTAGGCGTGCTTAGTGTATGCTCCTAATAAATTGTTATTTAAATACGAACAACAAATAGATGTTTTTCCAAATAAACTACATTGCAGGGTTTTGAGTTTTGTAGCCTTGTTGGATTCAGTACTACATGTAAAAGTATCAATCAGTCCCTGCAACACATAATTTTTGCTTGTGAATGGCAATTCTTGAACTATTCTACATTTTAATGCAGTACACTTGTCTTGCTTTCCTTCATCAAGTTTGTGTGTGTGTGTTTTATGTTCTTCCAAGTAAGTTTAATACGATCAGTCTCAGGCTCATGTAAACTTTATTATTTTTGTTTTTTCACACTTGGCTGTCTTTTCATCCTTATTGATTCTGTCGACTTCTATTATACACTTGTGCATTTGGATGATCCTCACTCATGATCGCGAAGGTCCTTGTTCCCTATATTCGTAGAATTTCATATAAGACAGCCTTAATACATTACAATTATCTTGTTTAGCAGTTCATATTAACATTTTTATACACCTTTATTCAAGGATTGTGTTCTGTTGGTTTGTAGGAACCAGACGGAAACATATCAGATGGCAATTTCAGGTTTGATGATTACTCGTTTGGACCAGGAATATGAAGCTTCACTGGCAACTATATTATGTGAAAAGTAGAGTTTCTAAATCCATCTTTTCTTTCGGAACGTTTTTAGTTTGTTGAATTAGTAGCAACTTTGTAATTACAATAGCTGGTTAGCTGCTGCTTGTATTCTCGAAGAACACTTTGTTAGTTATCCTATAAACTATGCATGAGTAACTTAGAAGTTTGGAATATTTTTTTGGTCTACATCTGTGGCATCCTTTGCAGTTGTTATCCCTTTACTCTTGTTGATGGGGGAAATTGTCTAACTTCTTCAGCCAATGTCGATTGGACTGGACAAGACCCGACTGTTGGATGGTGTGTTTATCTTCGTCGTGATTTTGTTTGCAAAACAAACTCAGAATAGCCTCTCGGATGCCAGAAGCTGGTGAGGCGACCAATTCAACTTTGATGGTGGAGTTAGACCAATATCGATGAGAGGGAAAGACATTGTATAGCCTGTAATTAATTTTTTCTTTTGAAGCTAAGGGTCTTGGTAAATAAATATTTTATCAAGAAGAGACGCTGCTTTTTGTGAAATGGCATCTGCTTCTCAGGGGAGGGAAGCAATTAAAAGCACTTCTAGAAATTATTAAAAATTTAAATATGTTCCAAAGTAAATTCTTAATTTTAGAAGTATTTTATGAACTTTTTAAACCAAAACCCTCTTATCTAGGGCTGGGCGTGGATTGGGTTGGATGGTTTTGAGTCCAACCTAAATCCAGCTCAACATGTTTGGTTTGACAATAACAAATTGAAACCAACACATTCACGGTTGAAACCCAACTCAATCCTAACCGACTATACTCGGGTTGGTATGTGTTGGATTGATTGGTTTGGATTTGAATCCCATTCAAGTTGGACCAAATTATTCTTTTGTTGACAATTTTTTTATGGGTCCAATGGTTGAGAGTTTTTTCGTTGAATTTGAACAATTTTTTTAAAGTTTGATACCATTTCAATTTGGACGAATTTCAGTCACATTAAAAAGGGAGATTTGAAAGGTTTTAAGTCGATTGAAGTTTGATCAATGGTTTGTGGGGTTAAATTCAATTCCAATAAAACAATATAAATTAAAAATATTGTAGAACTCGTTAAATAGATTATACCATGATCAAATTAAATACATATTAAATCAATCTAAATACATGTTAAATACATGCATATTATACATATTGAATAAAATGAATTCAACATAAATACTAAAAATGTTAATTTTCTCATTTAATTCAAGTGTTTAGTAAAAAATTACGTCAAAAATCGAGTCGAAAAGTCGATGAACGAACATCAATGAGAGGCAGTAGAGACGTGAGGCAGATGAAAAATTTGATAATTTGGTTTTTAGTTTTAAGTACTAATTTTCTTTTTAATGTTTTTTAATTTATTGGGCTGGGCTGGGTTGTGTTGGGTTTTAATAGATAACCCGGAACCCAACCCGACCCGACCAAAATTTTGATTTTCTAACTCGAACCCAACTCAATTGAACTAAAAAACCAACCCAAACTGATTGGTTTGGATTGGGTTGATCGGTTTGATTGGTTCAAATTGATTTTTGTCCAGCCCTACTCTTATCTACTTATTTCAACTAAGAGAATGCGTTTATCATTTTTCTTTAGTCAATTTTTTTTCTTATTTTAAATTACATTTCATTGACAAATTTTCTACCACGTTCGTCTTGAATTAGAGTTCACCCGAAAACACGTATTCATGTGTAGTATTATTAAAAGGAATAAATATTAAGAATACTTCTATCAAAAAAAGGATGTGCTACTTGTACATTATGGATATCATTAAGGATACCATAATGGTATCCATAATGTACAAGTGGCAGCCCCTCATTGGGGGATCGACGACACAACAGGTCGCGTCAGTCGACCCCCCAATGAGGGGCTGTCACTTGTGCATTATGGATACTATTATGGTATCCATAATGTACAAGTAGACAAATCCATCAAAAAAATATTAAGAATACCTTTTGTGTTTCAACTGTAAAAAGTCGTTTTTATTTTTATTTTATAATCTTTTAAATAAAAAAGAAGAATATTTCAAGAAAACCTAAAAAAATGCAATCTTAATGATCTCAAGGCTCTTTAAGAAATTTCCATCTCTCTCTCTATTCCCTCGCAAATGCACACTTACAAGCCGAGTGCGGGGGCAAGAATCTAGGCGAGGAAAAGAGGATTAAAATCACCAATGACCATCTAATTTTATACTTTGTGTTATCATGGCTACTCAATTTGATTTTGTTTCACTATGGTCACTCAACTCGATTTTATTTCAATATAGTCATTCAATTTCATATAACGTTTAACCATGATCATCTAATTTTATATAACATTTCACTATGACTACCCAATTTCTTTTCAACATTTTCATTAATTTTAAAATGGGTAAAATGGCAACTTTACATTATATATATAAAATACATTTTAAAAACAGAACTTATTTTAAAAATAAAATAAAAAATTATTTAAATAAATTTACTTACAAAATAAAATAAAAAATTATTTTTTAAAATAAGTTACTTAGAAAAATAAAAAGTTATTTTAACAAAATTCCTTAATAAAATAAAAACTTATTTAAAAAAATTAAAATAAAATAAAAACTTATTTTAAAATAAGAAAAAAATTATTTTATATATAATACAAAGTTACCGTTTTACCCGAAAATGATGAAAAAAATTTGATGATCATGATAATATAAAATCAAATTGGGTGATTACAATAAAATTGGTGATGATAAAATAAAATAAAATAGAGTGACAGAATGACAATGAAGTTCGGTTGCTTTAACCCTGGAAAAGAATGAATAGAGCTCAAAAGGCTTGCGAAGAGACTGAAGTCTAACGTCTGAAGCCGAGGAAGAAGAAATTCAATGAAAAATTGGAAAAAAATGATGAACAGATCGAGGAAGTAATTTTAAGGTTCAGAATATTTCAATTGGAATAGGAGAAGAACCAAAAGATTCTGAATTTGAAGATCTACGCTCCGCTTAATTATTGGAGAGTTATTTCCAATCCGATTTTAATTCCTAACCATCTTCCTGTTACCAGTGTATGATGTTCCTTTTTTTTTTTTTACCAAAGAAAAAAAAAGTAGATTTGATTTTGATTCATTGTTGGAACTTTTCACATGATAAATTTCATTGATAGCTGTGATTCTTATTATGAAAGCTAAAATTTTGGATTGTGTTTTTTGGTGTGGACCTGTTATTGCAATTGATATTTCCTAAAATGTTGTCTTGTTTTACAGTATAATTGTAGTAAAAATTCATTTTAAATTATTTAATTCTTAGCCCAATGCATATCCGGTTTAAGGACCAACATTGTTTGGCCCCTGATTGAATCCTGCACTGACTCTCATTCACTTATTTATGCTATAATCCAAGCCTATGTAAGAGTATTACTAAAATAATCAAACCCATTTTTTGAAACCAGTTTAGTTAGTATTTATGCCAAATATAGGTAACCTGAAAATGCACGTGATGTGCCCGATGAAATGAGTAAGAGAAATTTGTTCGTCTAGTATATAATAATTGGAATTGGCACATGCTCGATGGAGAAGTTATTCGATGATGGTGTGTAATAATATTGTTCCGGATGATTATGTTTGTTTCCCAAATTTTACAGAGTCGTGGAAATCGTGGGGATGTGGAGACCAATGATAAAGTTGGCAACAAATGAGCAAATTAGCGTTTAAGAAAATTTTTGGCCTTTAATTTTAGGCAAGATGTTAAGACATTGCAAGCAAGGGTATTTACTATTTAAGACTTTTAAGTTATCAAGAAATGGACTAAAGGCCTTCTAAACTTAAAATTGAGCATAGGCCTAAAGTATTGTTGACCATGCCTTTTAAAGTATTCTTGAGGTCGGTTTTGTGGGTTGTTTTTCTGACTTTCTTTTTTCCTTCTGGTTTTAGTTTTATAACGAACTATTCTTCTTCGTATGCAGTGAAATATACTGAAATTTGATAGGAGTATTATAATGAACAAAGGAGGAGTGGGACTGGGTGGTGGAGCTGGCGGTGGCAGCGGAGGTGGACCAACTGCTGCAGCGGCTGCTGCGGCCGCCCAAAAGCAGAAGACCCTTTTGCAGAGAGTGGACAATGACATTGGAAATCTTGTCGATAGTTTCGGATTCCTCGTGAATGTAGCACGGGTAATAACGACAATTCCTTTCAATAGCTTCTGAAATTTTTAGAATAATTTTATGCAGGTTATTTCTTGATCAGTTAGATTACAAAAACTCATATCACTGTGTAATGATTAATGAGTATTTGCATATCTGGAATTAATAGAATGAGGGTGGTTTATTTAGTATTTATCTAGAAAGTGTGAATATGAATAATATTAGGTGATAATATGTGTTCTTTTTATTTAATGTAAATGAGTACGGTAAATCCAATTTTAAAACTGACAGCTAGTTGAGCATGTTAGGAAGCCAGGATGTGCTGAGGGCTTCTTTCTCATTTTCTGAGCAAAAATTATAGAATGTTGTTAATGCCTTTGATATGCTGGAGTTTACTTAACATGATACATATGGCATGGAGAAGGACAAGAAAGAAGAGAACAAAAGAAAGGAGAGCGCTCGAATAGAGATAGCAGAGGCCTGGATACCTTTTTGTTTGGTGTGTTGAATTGAACGATACTAGATAGGACGATTGAAGAAAATCAAGTTAAAATCACGTTAGTTGAACTGTCCAGTGTGTCCGGTATTGTACCAAAAGTCCTCTTAAATCAAAAGATGGGTGAAAATCAAGCGAAAAGTTCTTGGAGTTTAGTGTAGAAGCATCAATGCTTTACATGTTAAGGATGTAGTAGTTCTATATTCAAATTTTTTATTATGTAAAGAGTTGATATGCCCATACTTTGATGGTACTTCGTTTTCTATGTTACATGGTCTTCTGTAATATCCATGAACCTGTATAGTTCTTGCGCTTGTGAGTGTAATGAATGACGTAAACAATGTTTTAAGAAAGCCACCTGCCCTTTGCACATACGTGATAGTCCATGTGAGATTGCCAGCTTATTGCTGTTGGGGATGGGAGCATAGGTTATCCACTATTAGCTAACACAGTAGTGCTATTTGGTGCACCTAGTTTATCTAGATGAATACGATATGAAGACAGAAAATGTATTGACATCCTTAAAACATATATAGATAACACACCTGATAGACACAGTAGTTCTACCTGATGCACTTCATAATGTTGACATACTTTGATCGTTAATAGAAGGGAAGAGTGTGGTTGTGGCATTACGATGTGTTTAGCCGGTTTGCTCACCGGTTGACTTGAACTGCATTGTATGGTTATGCACATCAGTGAATTTTTTATTCCTTTAGCGTTTCCTTGTTATGCTCCATAAAATAGTGTCATCACATGTGAAAAGCATTAATATAGTGACGCTGTTTTTAGATCTATCCATCACTCGTTTATAACTCATTCAGAAAACTGCAAAGAGTTGAGTTAATGGGTTATGTGGATTGTTAACTCTTGGGATCTGCCTAAAGTATATCTTTAATAAATCACGTCTTTTTATCAAGCGAATTCGATGTCTCCTTGACTCGTCTCACTATAAGCGATAGAATCAGTGGTAGAGCTAGGATATCATGTTTTCATTTAGCAGGGTGGGTTGGGGAGGGAATTTTATTCGAGCATTATGGCAACTCTTATATGATGCTAAGCACTCTGATGAAAGGCATATATCAAGCCTGAATGCAAACAGGTGTCCACATATATACAGACATGCACACACTCTTAAGTTCAATCTCTTCATAGTAACTTGCAGATGACAGGAGCATCTAAAATTTTGCACAAAAAGATTGTGGGGTCTAATTTTACTAAGTCCTGTAAATGGGGGTCATGCAGTCATAAGATAAGGTGGCATGCTGGGGTGGGGCTGGATGGTGGATTTTCAGAGAACTTTTAGGGACCCAAGGAAGTTTCATCTCTAAATAGATGCCCTGCTCCTGTATAGAACCATGTCGTGAACAGATCGTGCATCTTGAACTTTTTGCAGGAACTGGTCCTCCAGGATATAATGATAATGTAATTGAATTACTTGTGGCATATGCTTTTGCCTGAGCTATAAGCCAATGAGTGAAGCTAGTATAAACGCTCTAGTACTCGATTAAAGTGTTGCTATTCTGCAATAATATATAATTTCTCTATGTTTGAGGTGTATTTTATTTTTGTAAAGAGCGTATTGCGTGCAATTCTTTCTACGACCAGTTTCCAACTTATTTTTAGGCTGCTGCCATTATGCTAAGTATCACTGTTTCGCTTCCCCCCTCCCTTTTTTGGGAGTTGGTGGGTTGGCGGGCGGTGAGACTAACCAAGAGAGGGAAGATTCGTGATCCACAGAAAATGTGTCTTGTCGGCTTTGTAACTATTTCAAACTGAAATTCAATTGATGGTCTATAAAAATAGTAGACCCTTATGGTTTCAGGGACATTCTGTGTCCAAGTTCTCCAATGTCAAAGTCTGCAAAATCTTCATGGAAGACATCACTGGCTGATGATCTCACTGTTTTAGTAAATGCTCAACTTTCCAATTTTATCTATTTGGATTCTTAACATGATTTTTAATGACTTATTTACTCTCACAATTTCTTTTATCAGTTCTGAAGTCAGTGCTTATACAGTTGACATGTAGCGTTGGTTGATGTGTCTGTGCAAAGAAGAGAGCCTTCAAGGTCTCTATTTATGAATTATGAGATTGTGTTTTGTTCTTGCTAGGGTATCAAATAAAGAAAATGTTCCTACTTCCTGGCCATGAATCATTTTCCAAAATGCACAACACTTGTATAACACTGCATATATTTCAGGTTAATGATCCACCAGTGCGAAATTCTCAGGAAGCTTTCATGAAGGAGATGCGTGAGGCCAGAATGGTAAGAGCTTATTCTCATTATTAGTAACTGCATAAATTAACTATGCANTAAGTATTTAGTCAAATGAAAAATCGCAAACATGCCGATATCTTCTACATTTCCGACCCAAAAACTAAGAGCAAAATATTTTCAGTTCTTTTGAATTTTTGCATCAAACAACTATATCATGTTTGTCATGTGTAATTTTGATAGTTATTAAATCCCTCTCTCTGTTGATGTGGCTAATTGCAAGTATTAACAAACAGGTTCAGGCAGCAGACTGGCTGCTTAAATTGGTGTCCGAGTTGAAGCAGACTGCAATTTTCTCGGGTTTTGCATCTCTTAACGACCATATAGACCAGAGAACGAATGAGTTCAATAAACTCGCTGAAAAAACAAACGACACATTGGCAAGAATTGGAGAAGAGGCAGTTGCCAACCTCAAGGAGCTCGGGTCACATTATTACTCGTCCACGTTGAGAACAAGCATTCCTCCTGAGCCCTGAATAAGGTGGAGGAACTTCTGCTAGATTTAATTTCTTTTGAAGCGAACTACGCATCTGAATCTATTGAAGTATAGAAAGCTGATTTGATACTTTTCTGATGTATATTGTCTAGTTGGAGTCCGTGTTGACTTTTTTGGTAAGATGTACTATGTAGGATTGAACCTGTGCAATCTTTGCGCAAAGTACTTGTCTTAGAATTTCGATTGAATCTATTGGAGTATAGTGTGATGTGTGAATTGTGATTGAGCTTTAAGCCTTTAACTTTTTATTTCGTTAATTTTAAGAGTTTTTGGATTTAAATCCATTTTTGTCAAAGATAAATTAGAAAGTAGAAATTACACCACGTCTTGTTTTTAAATATCGCAATTCAAAAAACAGGTTTATTTAATAAAAAATCAGGTAATATTCAATTAATAATATTATTATAAAATTAAATTAATTTATATATCCCATCATACCCCCACCAAATTTCTCAAACCCTAATCACTTTTTCCACTCTATTTTCTCTCTATATCATTTTCTCCTCTCCATAATGTCTCTCACACATTACCACCGGAGCACTGCCAGCCAATGGGCTCACGAAGCATCTGATGCGGCATCATCGACTTGGCTAATGTTATGGAAGAGCGTTGGGCCTCATCTCCTTATTTCCTCCCTATCTTCTTTCTTCTCCAACGCTACAAATCGGTGACTAATGTTTCTTCGATGTCACCAATCTGCAGCGTCGCGGCGAGCGATAGCTTGCAAGAGCTGTCGAGTTGTGCACATGACCTCGCAGGTTTTCGAGTAGCGTCGTGCCTACATCAGTTAAGTTTCCGGACGGCAAGTTGGTTTTCAATGATGGCGGTGGTAATGGGTTGCATGTTGATTGATTGGTAGTGCGTAGTGGTCTGAGTTTGCTAACCAACGCGAATTGAGATTTGCATGTTGATTGCTTGGTGGTGCGTAGTGGTTTTGTGGTGTTTGAGATTTTTTTGTTGGGTGTTGGTTATGGTTGTTGGGGCAATGTTTGTGTCTATGTTGTTGGTGGTGGAGCTGTGTTGATGATGGTGACACTATTAGACTGTGTTGGTGGTGATCACAAGCGGCCGTGGTAGCGGTAGCGGTAGTGTTGGTGGTGGTATGTGGCCAACTATTTTGTTAATTTATGATCAACTATTTTGTTATTTGTGACCTAAAAATTTGATAATTTGTGATTGAAAACTAATTTTTGACCAACTAATTTGAAAATTTGTGATCGACAAATAAATTGTAATTTATAATTTTTTTTTTGATTTGTGATCGATGAAATAAATTGTGATATATCAAAAGTTTTTATGTGACCACAAAATAATATGTGACTAATTAATTTGATAATATGTGACGTTGTGACCTATAAGTACGCACATGTGACCATTAATTGTATAATTGTAACAATAATATATTTAATTAATTAATTAATACATGAGTTTTGAATTTTGGAAATTAAAACCTAAAAATTAAATTGTCTCATACTTATTGCTTGAGTTGTGAATTGTTTCCATGGGAAAAATTTATAAATAAGAGATTAAGTATGATACATTTTAAAACTAAAAAAACAAAGTTTATAATTTCAAAAATTAGATTTTTTAAAAATTTATTTATAAACTAATTAATTAAACATATGTTTTATTAATTAAATATATTAAGGTGACAATTCTATACAATCTGATCAGAAATTATTTCCCGATCACAATAAATTATTTTATAAGTCACAAATTATGTCACGATCACAAATCAAAAGTGTTATAAGTTACATTTTATTTATCGATCACAAATTTATCAAATTAATATATAACATATTATTCATTAGTCACAAATCACAACTTATTTTGTGGTCACAAAATATCTAATTAATTAATTAAAATTAATTTTTGGTCACATATTATCAAATTATTGGTCACATGTTATTTATTGGTCAAAATTTATTTATCGGTCACAAATAACAAATTTTATAAATCACGACTTACAAGTTATCAGTTACATATTATTTATTGGTTAGAAAATATCCAATTTATTGGTCACAAATTAACTAAATTATTGATATGATCAACCAAATAATTGGTCACAAACACCCCTACCCACGCCATCCCACCCATAACCACCGCATCACCGTCGCCACCATGTCACCGTCACTATCGCCATCACCGCCAACCACCACCTCACCACTACAATCAATATCACAAAGAATACTTCTCAAACACCATTAAAAAAATCAAATTCAAAATAATTAATCAACACCACGACTGCCACCAACAACACCACCACCATGACTAGCACCACCACAACTACAAACGCTGCGACCATCAGCACACCTCCACTAACTACCTCAAAAACTTTGACACCCAAAAGTTTAGATTTTCCACCACTAGCAACAGCTCTCACGCCCAAAACCATTGTCGCCTAAAAACTACACAACCAGGATCATGACCATCATAATCGCACTCCCACCACCACCAACTGCACGCAACCAACAAAACTTACAAAACCAAACAAATCTCCGATAGCGGCAGCACGCACTCAAACATTTTGCAACGACATCGTAGCTGAGTGCATTGCACAGCAGCCACTGTTGCAGCGTCTCACATCGACAGTGCAACGATGACGACGTCGCACTGCAGTGACGCACGAAGTCACCATAGCGACGACATATGTGGTGGTCTCCGACAGCGAAAGTTCCTGGTGGTTGGAATAAAATGATGAGAGAGAGAGAGAGATGGAGAGTTATTAGAGTTTTGGATGGGTGGTTGGATTGAGTGGTTGTATATGTATATTAATTTGATTTTGTAATATAATTATTAATACTAAAATTTTGAATTAATATCTGATTTTTGAATAAATAAGCTTTAAATCTGATTTTTGAAATTGAATCTAAAAAAATCTGATTGGTTGTAATTTCCACTTTTTCCAATTCGATAAGGCCTCCAGCCCGCTCCAGATGAGTCGAACAATGCGGGCCAGGAGGCCCAAATCGTAGAGATCGCTTTGATAGTCCAATCCGATAAAAATCCGGATTCTAAGGCTTCATGCCACGTCATCACTTATCTCCATAGGTCGGTGCACCAACGGTCTGACAAACCTTCTCCATATACACGATTTCATTACGAGTTTTCTTCTTATTCATCTGAATTTTAACCTTCGATTAATATTCTTAAAAATAATTCATCAGTTCTGGAACTTCCCACAAAATCAAGCGTAATCATGAGATCCAAACCCCAAAACTTCCAAATTTTCATTCAATCGGCAGATCTTCAGATTCCCACACGTGCCTTAATTTTGCAAAACCCTAACCCTAACACTAATTTCTCTGTCCACCACCTCAAATCGGACCTTGTTTCAAGCACAAGAATTTCTCCGAAATCCCTTTTCTTCAGCCTTAATGGAAAGCTCCTCGTTGATTCTACGCCCCTGTTTCAAAATCCACAAATTGGTCCCCTCTCCACTCTTACCGTCCATATGCGACATAATGGAGGTGGTGGAGATGGTGGCGCTACCGGGGCTGAGTCGCGTGACTGTTATTTGAATATGTATGCTGTTAAAAAGCCCGATAAGGTTGATCCTAATGAGATGCGGCTGTCAAAGTGGTTAAATTGTAGTTTGTCCAATGAGCCGCTGAAACACCCGGTAGTCATTGATAAGTTAGGGAATTTGTTCAACAAAGAGGCGTTGGTGGAGGCTTTATTGAAGAAAAATTTGCCCAAAGAGTTTAGATATATTAAGGGTTTGAAGGATATGATTGCAGTCGAGCTCGCTGAGGTTCCGGGGATTAGAGAGAGGGGGGCAATGAAATTCCAGTGCCCCATAACGGGGCTGGAATTTAATGGGAATTACAAGTTTTTCACGATAAAAAGTTGTGGGCATGTATTGAGTGCCAAGGCGTTGAAGGAGGTAAAGTCATCTGCATGTTTGGTTTGTCATAAGGAGTTCACAGAAAGTGATAAGATTGTCATCAATGGGAACGAAGAGGAAGTGGAGGCATTGAGAGGGAAGATTGAAGGAGAGGCAAAATTGAAAGATAATAACAAGAAATCGAAGAAAGTGAAGAATGGGGGTGCGAATGGAGAGGCTGGACGTCTGACAGGGACAAAACATGGGATTGAAGGGAATGCTATTGACCATAATAATATTGGTTCCTCGAAGAGGTTCAAGGCAGCAGATATGGCCCCTGCAAATGCAACCAAGGAGGTGTATGCATCAATTTTTACTTCGTCAAAGAAAAAAGATTTCAAGGAGACGTATTCTTGTAGATCATTGCCTCTTGGTAGAAACTGATGAGGTGTATACATGAGGTGATTTTATAGTAAATCACACTATTTGTCTTGTATTTCTGTAGCTTGTGACCTGGAAGAGCTGTTAAGTGTTGGATTGATATATCCTTTGTTAAAAGACTGATTGTGTTTCTATGGAATTTTCTTATTTGTTTTATTTACCATAAAGATGATTGTGGTCCTTTAATTTGATTTTGAATTACTAAAATTGTTTTGTTGCAAGTTCATTTTTAACTCTTTCGCCTCTTTTTTAAAAACTTTTGGCAACCTTTTTTTGTGTTGATTTTTCTCATTGTGAATGGCAACCTTTCATGTTTTGTGTGACTATTTGTGTTGGAATACTATGCAGAGAAGAGAGAGTCTTTTGCTTCGTTTTATAAAAATATCTAACATATGGAGGAATCATAGGGGTGATTTTTCTTAGTGTGCGGTTTTGTGGCCCAACAGTCATAGGTGTTTGGTGATTTGTCACCTTGAAATCAGTTCCTTTAAAATTGAGGAAGACAATTTTATAAATAATGCCATTTGAACGCTTGGGATGCTGATACAGTAAAGTGAATATTTGAAATGGTTTGATCTTGAAAGTTGGGACATAGAGTCTTGTCTTGGTGAAAGTAAATGAACAATATGTAGAATGTGTCATGAGTCCAATTCCAATGAAAGCCTTCTCTGTTTGAGAAATAAAGTCTCTTCTTTTATTTGAAGGCCATAAAGAGTATAAGCTCTTTAGATATACTGTATGAGCAAATGAGCTGCCTTTTATTCTCATGTTCTACAGACAGAAATAGATCCTGCAATGCATTTGTTTACTTGGAATTGACCTTCAGTGGATATGTAGCTGTTTTATGTACATGAGATAAGAGGTTGTGAGTTGAATAGTTATGAAAGTTTATTTAGGAGTGTACTCATGGTTCTTGCTTTTGCAGTGATATAAGTTGTCAAAACCTTGGTTTATAGTTGATAAAATGTTTCTATTGCGTTTTATCCGTACTGTTATATGCTGCTGCCGATTCAATTAAGAAATTTAAAATTTTTTCGTTGGCAAAGAAGTCCATCTTGTGAAGACACTTGCAGATTGATGCCCCTTGTTCGAATTTGATGAGCTTGTGACATTTCAAGTGGCTAGTTCCTTCGTCATTTAGAGGCTGCTGTTAATGGAAGAATTTTAGCACTAGATATTGTGTCCTGGCCCCTAGATATTCTGGTTTGTGATTTGTAATGAAAATTCTTTATTGATGTTACCTATTAGTTCTGAATCTGACCTATCAATCAAGATTGCCTATCAGCATTGCTTTGTAACAAGGTGCCTATGTTTTCTTGACTTCTGATCAGTTTGCAGTTTGTTTAGGTGTTGCTCACTTGTTATCACGGTGACTTCATTAGTGAGGATTCTGTAGTGCCTATACGGTATTAGAATCTACCGAAGAGCTAAATTTGTTTTTCTCGGTGGGTTTACCTATTAGTCGTGTGTTCACTTCACTTCACTTCACTTTTCCTTTTTCTTTTATTTTTTAAAGGATGCGCAATTTGACAATTAACGAGTCATTTTTGTTGTGCAGCCATTTTGCAAGTCTCTCTTCGTTTACCTTCAAACTCGGTTGGTTTTATGGCCTAAGTATTTTGCAACGTTTGATGTTATATGTTCTCAATATGGTCTTATGGTTGGTTGCACATTCTCCCTAAACCAATCCCTTTTCATAAAAACTTAGGCATGTAAAATCGGTTTGCTTCAGTTGAGCCCTTTAGCCCTCTCCTAGCTGACAGCTCAATTGTACACGCTCCAGTCTGGATTCTAGGTTCTTCAAAGAGACGGTGGAACAGGGGATTTTCCGTAAGCATAAAAAAAAGGTGGTTCATCTTCATCAAGATGGCAGTGGATGGAGACGGCAATTAGTAGGAGACAACTAATGGAGATAGCCTTCTTCGTTGTGCTAACCGATCGATTGCTCCGCTCTTACTAAGACCCTCGGATCTAGAACAGGTGGATGCTCTCAGAACAAATCAAGCCTCTGCATGCTTTCTTCAAAGAGACGGTGGAACAGGGGATTGTCCGTAAGCATAAAAAAAAGTGGTTCATCTTCATCAAGATGGCAGTGGATGGAGACGGCAATTAGTAGGAGACAACTAATGGAGATAGCCTTCTTCGTTGTGCTAACCGATCGATTGCTCCGCTCTTACTAAGACCCTCGGATCTAGAACAGGTGGATGCTCTCAGAACAAATCAAGCCTCTGCATGCTTTCTTCAAAGAGACGGTGGAACAGGGGATTGTCCGTAAGCATAAAAAAAAGTGGTTCATCTTCATCAAGATGGCAGTGGATGGAGACGGCAATTAGTAGGAGACAACTAATGGAGATAGCCTTCTTCGTTGTGCTAACCGATCGATTGCTCCGCTCTTACTAAGACCCTCGGATCTAGAACAGGTGGATGCTCTCAGAACAAATCAAGCCTCTGCATGCTTTCTTCAAAGAGACGGTGGAACAGGGGATTGTCCGTAAGCATAAAAAAAAGTGGTTCATCTTCATCAAGATGGCAGTGGATGGAGACGGCAATTAGTAGGAGACAACTAATGGAGATAGCCTTCTTCGTTGTGCTAACCGATCGATTGCTCCGCTCTTACTAAGACCCTCGGATCTAGAACAGGTGGATGCTCTCAGAACAAATCAAGCCTCTGCATGCTTTCTTCAAAGAGACGGTGGAACAGGGGATTGTCCGTAAGCATAAAAAAAAGTGGTTCATCTTCATCAAGATGGCAGTGGATGGAGACGGCAATTAGTAGGAGACAACTAATGGAGATAGCCTTCTTCGTTGTGCTAACCGATCGATTGCTCCGCTCTTACTAAGACCCTCGGATCTAGAACAGGTGGATGCTCTCAGAACAAATCAAGCCTCTGCATGCTTTCTTCAAAGAGACGGTGGAACAGGGGATTGTCCGTAAGCATAAAAAAAAGTGGTTCATCTTCATCAAGATGGCAGTGGATGGAGACGGCAATTAGTAGGAGACAACTAATGGAGATAGCCTTCTTCGTTGTGCTAACCGATCGATTGCTCCGCTCTTACTAAGACCCTCGGATCTAGAGCAGGCGGATGCTCTCAGAACAAATCAAGCCTCTGCATGCTTTCTTGGAGCACGAACCTCACCTCAAACTAAAAAAGGAGAGGTCAAAGTTAGGGTTCATTTGGTACAACGGTTGCGAGTCTAGTTTGTTTTAAAAAGAGTTGTTATTAAAAATTATTGATGATTTGGTTGACAACATAACAAATGAGTATTTGGAAGCATAAACATTAATTACTTTCTATATATTTCATTAACAATATTTTTTATTTTAGTTAAATTATCACAGGTTGGTTACTTTAATATATATAATATATCAAAATAGAATGTTTAGTCGATGCCTTTACGATTTTCAAATTGAATTGCTAAAATAATTATGTTGGCAATCTTCTCCATCGAAATAAATCATCCTTTTTGTGGAGGTAAATCATTGTCGTGTCGATAAGTTCAGAACATTGTTAAAAAAAATTTAACATTACATATTATGGGGATGTCTGGGACTGCTTTTTAAAGCAAAAAAATTGATGCATAGTCGTTACATGTAAAATCAAGTCGTCTTTTTTTACCAGCCATCTCAGAGGTAGGGTTTACCTTGACAAAACAACGGTCAATATTTCAATTTTAAGCTAACGAAGAATCAGCACCTACACATCCTATATAGTGGTTGAGTCAATTGTTCATTAAGAAAGATTTCATTTAATACTTTCGAATACCAACCTTATTTTTTAAAAAAAAAAAAAATAAATTTTAACAATAAAATAATAGAGGCCTGTTTGGTACAAATTCTCATTTTCTACAGTAAATCAATTCTCATTTTCAATCACACATTCTTCAATTAAATAATACTTTCCATCACATCAATACTTTTTTTTCTTTTTCAACCACACATTTCCTATCATATCACTATTCAAAAATCAATTTTTCCCCTAAAAATCCCTACCAAACATACTCTAGTTCAAATTTTCTTGCGAATAGAAAAAGTAAGATTCCCGAACACGGACAAAGATACAATGAATTTGAAGTCTCACAATGTGAGGAGATATTTAATTATTAATATTAGATAAAAACAAATATTTGCGGGAATACAAAGTATTTCCTCGAAAATTAAGGTTGGCTTCGTAGAAAATCTCAAAATCCGCGAAGCTCATCAGCAAGCATCCAAGAGAGACTGACAGATATACATATACATATAAGGGTGGTGCTAGGAGTACAGGAAGGGACTTACAGGCGGGGTACAGGAATTCAAAATTTGATGACGTGGCAGTTGAAATCAAAAATAGTATACTCCACGTAACATTTCAAAATCCTCAAAGAGGGACGATTGAAGGAAGGAAACCTAACAATTCAAAATCCTCCTATCCCTCATCGACTGAAATCTCTCGTGGGACTTCGACGGCGACTTCGATGGCGACGGCGACGGCCACTTCGACTACGAAGGCGACTTCGTTTTAACATCCGGCCGTAGTTTTCTGTTGAAATCGACGAGAGGAGTCGAATTCAGTCCTGTGAACCTCGTCGTCCGGCGACCCATAACAACTCCTCAACTGGCGAGTGCGTCAAATCACCACTGAAGAAGACACCTCCGACCAGAGCTTTGAACCACCGGTTGGGAAGAAGTGAAGTTCGTTTTTTCTGGCTTTTACCGGTGCCTCAGACAGTTTGGTGTTCTTTGTTTATCATTTTTGAGTTTGAATCTCGTGAAGGGGTGTAATTATTGAGGTTGATTTTGTTGGGTTATGTTCAATTATGTTTTCGATTTTGTTCAAATTGTCAATTCCTGAGATCTTTGTTTTTTTTTTTTTTTCCAGTTTTGTTAATGTTTGAGGGCGGTTTTGTTGGATTCAACTTTGATTGAATCTGGGATTGAGCATAATGAGCTCGGTTTTGGTCAATGTTCTTCTCCAGTTTTGTCGAAGTTGATCATCTGTAATGGTGGAAAATGGAAATGTTG